CTGATCCCCTCTCTTTCTCGGTGAATGTGTGTGCAGTTTGTTTTTTATTTGTAGGGTTCTTCCTTCTTCCCCTCCTCTCCCTGTCTGTTTTGTTCCATGTTGTACGCTTCTGTGGGGTTCAGTCTGTCTTTTTAATCGTCTGAGGTCACATCTATTTCCTCCGGACTCGCCTGCTTAGTGGCGATTCTCCACCGGTTGATATGGTGTGTCCCTTTTTTCTTTTGTTGTGAGTCTGAGCCTTCTTCCTCCAGCTTCTGCCTTTTGAACTTAGTCCTCCGGTTCTGAAACCATACTTTTACCTGGAGGGAGAAGCAGGTGGGGCCCTGTTAGGTCCTTCACAGCACTATCCTATGAAGTTCAGATTCCTTCCCCCGCCCAGACTCCAGTCTAAGACCTGAGGAAGCCCATGCATCTCCTAAGGGTTTCCACCTCTGGCCCCTGTCCGGGAGCAGAGCTCCTAGTCCTGACGGTAGGAAGTCCAGGTCCCTGCCTTTTTGAACCCTTTGGGGAAGACTTCCCCAACAGCCTCAGGCCCCATGGTGCACTAAGCCCCTTCATTCCTGTCCCTGCCTAGGGCACCCACATCTTGATGAGAGCAAAGGTCCTGTAAAGCTTGGGCACCCTTATAAAATAATAAATAAGGAAAAATAAAAAGAGACCTATCCTTAACTCCTCTTCAGCAAGCCAGCAAAATAAAGACCTCAGTTTAGGCTGCCACAGCTCCCGAAAGACCCAATATGTTTTCTATTTTCTGTCGGTCTGGCATTGCCTAAATATAGTGCCTCCTCTGCAAGGCAGCAAGGCCTTGGGTAGACCATCCAGGTTTGCTGAGCCGCTGCCTCATTGCAGGGGAATTCTGGCAGGTGAGCAAGGGTGGTGTGGAGCTGGAGGAAACCAGGGAGACAGTGGGGCACAAGCCTCAGATGCAACCCAGCTGTACCTTTCCAGCTAGGGAAAAGGTGCTCAAAAATGAAAGCTTCCAGAAGGCCATGGATAGAGAAGTAAGAGGAAAAACAGAGAGAGAGAGACAGAGAGACGGGAGAGAGAGAGAAGGAGACATGGGGTCGGGGGAGACTTCATCCCTCCTACTGTCCAGCCCTAGAATGGAACGGGGTCAGTCTCAGCCTGGGCCACATCCCTTGCCACTGAGCTGGCAGCCTGGTCTCCCCAGGGTGGCTGCTAGAAGTCCACAGAGCAATAAAGTTGGAGTCAGCTGCGAACTGACGGTCCCCTGGAGAAGCCGGGTGGTGGGTCCCCATTTAGCAACGACAAGACCAAGCCTAACACTGTCCAGGCTTCTGAGTAAGGAGCAATGGGTGAGAAAACTGGTGGTGACTTCCACAGCCCTTCCCCTGCCCAGCAAACCTATCCCAATAGTAGCACCCAGGCCCTGTCCGGGTCCTTGGGCCCCTGAAGTCTCTAACCACTCCTGAGCCCGAACAAGGCCGAGTTTAATTTGCTTTGAGTTTGCTAATTGAGGAGGAGGACGGTTCATTTCTCCCCCGGCGCTCGCCCAAGGCTCGCGTCGGTGCGCCCGGGGTTTGACATTCACACAAAGACTGCAGGCAGCGTGGGCAGCCAGGCGGACAAAGACCACCTCCGCCTAGGCTGTCCAGGGGAAATCAGCCGGGCAGCGCCTTGTGCCCGCACGGCACAAACCCGCGAGGCTCTCCTTGATTTTTTTTGGAGCAGGAAGGAGGGGGAAATGTTTTTTCAAAAAAGCCTTGACCTTTTTGCATTTCCCAGAAAAAGTGCTACAATTTAATCTGCCTGAAAATGTTACTTTTTAATGGGAACTTTGACCTACCCTGCGGCTGTAGTACAGTAGCACCTATTGTAGCTCTACGCGCCCCCTTCGCATCCTGGGACAAGCCAAGCCAGGGGACTCCACTACACAGCAAGGCCTATCCCTTGAGTCAGGCACTCTTTGCAGCCTTCCAGCTTTATTTCTCTGATTGCAAGGGTGCGTGCAGCAGCCTGGTCTCCCGCTTTGGACACTCTTGTCCCCTTAAAGGGAGTAACTGGGCCGTGGATGTGAGCCCATTGGCCTAGAGTTGCTCAGAACTCACCCATAACCCAGTCTACATTCTCGAAGCTCAAGCTCAAACAACTGGGACATCCCCACTGCACTTTCCTTCATCCTGGATCCAAGTAGTGAACCCATGACTCCCACCAAAACTTTGAGCAACACTGCAGAAGTGTGTGTGTTAGCCGGGAGCTGCAAGACCTGCCCCGTGGGCAGAAGCAAGTCAGCTCTTCCACTGTAGAACTCGGGGAAGATCAGCTCGCACCGTCCCTCTGGAGCTCTACAAAGCTGGGAACCTGAAAAGTTACAGGTCCAGGGCCTGGGAGCGGAACTAGCTTTCTCGGAGTGCTACCCGGTAAGGGCACTAGGTGCTCTGCCCAGATCTGGACAGCAGCGGTGAGGGGCCTGTGCCTGGAATGAGTGTCTTCCCTCCTGGGCCGCACTCACCTGAGTTTCCGTAAGGCTGAGACTGTGTGCCAGCTGCTTCCTTTCTGCGCCCACGACGTAGTGATTCTTCTCGAAGGCGTGTTCCAGCCTTAGAAGCTGGGACGGGGAGAAGGCGGTTCGGATCCGCTTAGGTTTCCGGGCCAGCGCGTTGTGCAAAAGGAAACTCTCGGGGCTTGTGTCGTTCCCTGCAGAGGGCACAGTATAAGTGCCATTAGGAGGCCCATCAGGCCAGAGCCGCGCTTCTCCCGAGCCGGGCTGGCCCGCATTGCGCTCAGGGCAGCCGCCTAATCCGAGCCGCCGGACCTGCCGCGGCTGGTGGTCCTCCTCCGGTGCGCGAAGGGAAGCCGGCCCAGCTGCCAGCTCGGACCGTCACGGATCCACCTGTGCGGGACTCAACCCGCAGCTGCTCCGGCGGAGCTCAGGTTGAGGACCTCTGCGGGTCTGGGCTCGGCTGCCGCTTTGGCGCCGCGGGCCCCGGCCATCTCCCCGGTAGTGCCCAGGGTAGGGGAAGTGCTGGCAGAACCCGGCTGGGAGACTGGTGCTTACCACCCAAAGGAAAGACTCTCTTCAGCCTCTCAGGGAACTTTGACCCCAGGCCGCTACCCAGACTTTTCTTGAGGATTTGTTTCTTTTTAAAAAAAAAAAATATATATATATATATATATATATTTTTTTTTGTCTTGCTACCCGGTCGAGAAAGTAGAGGACAGGTGAGTCGTCGCAAGCAGACCGAGACAGAAATTTTGCAGCGGTGTGCAGGGCTTCTACCGCTGCCGTCTCAGGAGTACCCGGTTCCAGAGAACTAGGAAAAAGCCGAGAGCCAAGGGATCGAAACTCAGGGGACACCGAGTTGCGCACCAGCTCAGCGGGTCTGAGGCCAGGGAAGATAACAGTTGCTCCAGATCTGGTGGGGCAACCAGGAACACACGACTGGCAGAAAATGCGGAAGGGAAGTCCTAAACTTTGAAGAAAAGCCACTGTTTCAGGTTCGCTTATTACAATAAGAAATCGGTTCGCCAAAAGCTCAAACAAAGGAGAACAAATTGACAGCCAGGCGGGAATAGAGGCAAATCCAATTCAAGAGTAAGGGCAAAAGGGTTTGGGATTTGTTTTTGTTTTGTTTTGTTTTAACTGCGGGAAGAGAAATGATGACATCTTTCCTATTCTAGGCTCAAACAGGAATGCAAAGGGTTAACTTATGGATCAGCCGCTGGGTATTGATCGGCTGCGGAAGGTGGGTTTTTTGTTGTTGTTGTTTTTAAACGGACTCGCATCCCGATCCGTAAACTAATTACTCGCCCCCCTTCCTCCTAAGTTTTGACTTTCCTGCCAACTCTCACCCAGAGAAAAGCAAATTTTTAAAATATCCAGAAATGAAGACATCTAAACTGTTCTTTCCCTCCCAGGCCGTCTCTAGACCCGGTTCATGTCTTTTAAAAGGAAGGAAAACAAAAACCACACCGAACCAGCCTTCCCGCCGAGGCCGCTCAGTGCACCAATTAAGCAGGTCGAGGCGAGAGCACCGAGTCCTGGAGGTTTTACCCCCTCCGGTTAGGGCCCCTCTCCAGGCCTCCAAAAGCAGGGGCAGGGAATACTTGGTTTTAAGGTCCAGAGAGAACCCTGGCTTCCGTAAAAGGGTCGAAGACGGAGAAGTCGTCGGCCGAAGGGGCGTGGAGTGGGTGGCGAAGGAGTCCAGCACATTTGGAGGGGAACCTGGCGGCCAGGCCCTCTCCGCGCCTCTCGGAGCTAATACCCAGGACATCGCAGAGGGAACCGCGAGCCTGGGGACCCCGTGGGCTCTGGGCTTCCTGGTGGTGCACACGCTGAGCGGCTGTCCCAGGCTGCCCCGACCAGAGCGCGCTCAGGAACGACTTGGTCCGCGCCCTTTCCCCAAAGGTCAGTCGGCCGGGAGCCCAGTACCCAAAACCAGCTGTAGCTTCAGGGAGTGAGGATCAGCACTACGCCCGCCCCTGGCTGCCCAGCTCGGTCCGAACCAGGCGCACGGGCCCGGGAGTCTGAGGAACCTCCGCCCAGGCCTTGCCCGGCGCCCACCCGAGCAGGCCAGACGCAGAAGGATGCGGCGGGAGCGGCGCACTGCAGTCCCGCGACGTGGCACGTACCTTGGAAGCGATGACCCAGATATCGGTATCGGTGGATGAGCCAGGGGTAAAAGGTGGACGGGTCCCGCTGCTGCGAGGCGAAGAGGGGGTGTGGCGAGTGCGAGGAGGGCAGGGGGTGGGCGGCCAGGGCGTGCGGCGGCGGCACCGGGTGCACCGGCACGGCTGGGTTGGGTGGGTGCGAGACCGCCTCGGCGAACACTAAGTCCGGGTTGGAGTAGACGCCCCTGCTCGCGGCGGCCGCAGCGGCGGCGGAGTGGAAGCCGTTGAGGAACGGATTTATGGGGCTGGAGTTGGCGTAGCTAAGTGCCGCGGGACGGATGGGGTCCTCGGAGCGCGAGGCGGGCAGGGGACTGTCCTTGGCCACCAGCGACTCGATGGTGAAGCAGCGCTTGGGCGCCGGCTGGAACATGCTGCGCCGAGGAGCGGGCGCCTGGGCTCCCTGCTCCCGGCGACCGCGGCGCGCTGCCTCCGCCGCCCGCTGCCCGCGGCGAGGACCGACGAGAATTGGGGACTCGTTTGTTTGGGGTGGGGGCGGGGGGAGGCAAGGAAGAAAGAAAGGAAAGGAAAAAGGAAAGGAGGGGGGAGGGGGAAAGAGGCAAAGCCGAAGATCCCGAGAATCTTGCACCAAACGCGCCCAACCTGGAGAGAGGGGGGAAAAATCCTTCCAGAAGAATTTGCAGGCGTGGATTGGGGTAATTTTTTTTTTTTCGAGATGGCGTTGGGGGGGGTGCTCAGAGTTAGAGGCAGAAGGGGGGGCAAAGTTTCTCGGGGGAGGCAAAAAAAAGTTTTCTCTCCTCTGCAAAAGGCGGGCAGGGCGCCCTAAGTCCAAGGACAATCCATGGAAGTGTTCGCTTCTTCACAAGTTGTGCAAACGATTTGTTAGTTCATGAGCCTAATTAGTGCGGGGATCACATAAACAGCTTCCTCCGAAGCCTGGTAAATGGCTTGATGATTGGTCGCTATTACTCGCCCTGAGGTGGAAGGGGGGAGACTCTTTAAAGTGCGTCAGAGGGAGGCGAGCGCCTGGGAACCCGGAGGCCTGGATCCCGGCCGAGAGTGGAACGGAGTCGGCGCCGCTGGCCCGGCTGAGCCTCCTGCCGCCCGCCCGCCCGCCGGCCCCGACCTCTCCGCGCCTTCGCCCCGCGCTCCGAGTTCTCTCGCTCCGGCGGCGCCCGCTGCGGCTTCTCTCCTCCTCTTTCGCCTCCTCCTCTTCCTCCGGTTTCTTCTCCTCCTCCTCTTCCTCTTTCTTCTCCTCCTTCTTTTCTTCCTCCTCCTCTTTCCCCTCCTCCTCCCCCTCAGCCACCGCCTCCTCCTCTACCAGCACCACTCCCTCCGGGGCACCGGGGTCCCTGCAGATTCCCCGGCCCGTGCTGCCTCACCGCGGCCCCCTGGACCCCGAGCCTGCTGCGCTGGAGCCGGTCGGACAGACGGACGGACAGACACGCAGATTCCTCTCGCCCTGCGCTCTGCCCCTGCTGCCCGCCGCGGCCCGCGTCGGTGGAGCCGAGATCGCCCGGAGTTCTGCGAGGGTAAGCGGGTGGGGACTGGCTCCGGCGGGGGTTAAAGGCTCCGTTAGATCGACCCCATCCTCACCCCAGCAAAACTCCCGACGGCTTTGAGGTGGGTGCTCCCACTCCACCACTGGTAGCTTAATGGTCCCAAAGTATGCGCGTTCGCAGTCCTTGACCCGGCTTGTTCGTTTGCGAATTGGTAGCTGCCGACCTTTCGGGGGCGGTGGGCTTCCAACTCAGACCGCTCTCGCTCCACAGCCTCCCACTTTTTCTGTCTGGAAGGGTGCTTGCCTCGTTCTCTAAAACAGTCCCTCGTGGGATACTGGGACCACGGGGGTCCAAGGTCAGGGGAGAGGCTGATGCGGTGCTATTATTATTTCATGATCGTTATTGTTTGTATTAGTGCTGACAGTATTACTACTATTGCTGCTCTTGCTGTTATTATTATTTCTATTATTATTCTGCCATCTGTTGTCCCAGGACTGGGTTACTGTACAAATCCAGGACTCGCAACTAGAGACTGCAGATCGCGTCTTCAGTTCCAGGCCGTGTCCGCATTTTCGAGCTCGCCTTCGGTTTTGGGATGATTTTAGGGCCGAGTTCTCTCATCCCCATTGGCTCCTGCTGCGGCATAATTATGATCACATCCCCCAGGCTGCTGGCGCTACTCTCTGTTTATTGGTGGTTAAAGATCTATTATCTATTCATCAGCCGCCTCTTTTTTCCTCTTTTTCCCCCCTTTTGCCAATTACATTCTTCTAAGTGAAGTACCAGCAGGTATTTTGCGCGTTTGCAATTAATAATAAAAAATGCTGGCGTCTTTTAAATCTATTACTCCCAGGCCCGTGTCGTTTATCTTAAGGAGGAAGAAATGCCTGTGTTTGGTGGCTAGGTTGCTGTGAGACGCGGGAGAAGTCAATCAGGAGGGAACAGAAGTGGAGTCCCCAAAAGGGAAGCGGCCACTCTGCCAGATGCAAGCACAGACTGGGACTCTTAGGACATGCTCCAGGGTCCCCCAGCTGCCCCGGGCCTTGCCCTCTGGTCTTCTCTTTACCTCCCCTGGTCTCATCTACTGCTGTGTATTTGGTTCTATCAGTTTCTTGACTTTATTCCAGGTACTGGAGAGTGTTGTGTTGCAGGGAGGGATGACCAGAAACAGCCCTGAGAAACCTCCCAGGCAAAAGAGTTTTCTAGTGTTGCTGGGGCTCCAGAGAGATTAGCTGGGAGCCCACAGAGGTCACTTACCTTGCAACCTCGATCTTTACAGGGCATGTAAGCACACGCATACACACACACACATTTACTATGGAGACCTTTATGGGCCTCGGCTTTGGCCTCGATGTGGGAGAAATTGGCTCCTGTCTCCTACTTTGGACCACTGCATCATCAGCTCTGGGCTGGGGTCCTGGCTGGGTTTTCACCCTTTGTTCCAGATGGCGTGCTTTGACCCCTTTTTATCCCCCAAGCCCAAAGATTTTGGGCATTGAGCCCAGCATCTTAGCACGGGGATGAGTCCAAAGACTACTCTCATCAGGCCTGGATCATCATCCCCCTAATCATTGTCTGCAGCTCAGCAGTGCTCCCTGGATGAGGCTGTGGAGACAGAAGCACCCCTTGCCCATGCCAGGAGGGAGCCTTGAAGTTCTCATGAAGGGTGAGAGGTCTTTAGGCCAGCAAGCCCCAGGAGAGGTGGGAGTCAGCCCTAGAGCTTCTCAAGCTGTAACAAACACCCAGTTTAGAGAGACTGCAACCAGGATCCCGAGGTAAGGGAGTGAGGCCACCTTCGCTGTGTGACCCTCTGTAAGACTGGAGAGTGAAGCCAGGCCTCTGCGTTCAGTATCCAGTGCTCCAAGCCAGGGCCACTAAAAGCCCACCCAGACAATGGGGCAGGGAATGGCCATTTACTGCATAGTTAGCATTGTAATCTTGGCTGGGGGTATAAGTCATTGGCCTCGAGGACAAGGGGAATACAGTCCTGTCTGGGAGATTGTGAGAGACCCCAGAGGTATATAGTATGTAATGGGGCTACCCCACTTTCAAAATATTCAGCCCTGGGCCCTTAAGGTATGATCGCTACCCCCTTAACCCTTCATCTCTTTGGCCAGGATGCCAGGCAAGCATCCTAAGAGAGTAAGCTGGTGACTGGGCCTCTCAACCTCTTGCCCTAGGAGAAAAATTTTGGCGGAGCAGAGGAGAGACTGCCCAAGGGGCCAGTCCAGTCCTGTGGCATCCTCCACAAGCTGCCTGCCGCTTGGAAACTGCCCTTGAAAGGCCAGGCTTGCCCCAAGTCTCTGTCTGGCGGGCAGGTGAGTGAAAGCCAGGGAGCTGACTACTTTTTTTAAGCAAGGCAAGCCAGTTCCTCCACTTGGAGGTTCTTTCAACCCCAAATAGCGTGCGGGCCCCTCTCAAAGAAGCAAAGAAGTGGGATTCCAGTGAGTCCGGAGCAGTGCGGTGGCCCCTGAGGCTGGGTAATCTATGCTAATTCTTGCGCCCCGACCTGAGGCGCCGGGAAGGTTCGCCCCACCGAGCACTGCTGGCCCTGCCGTGCGTGGACATTAACAAGCAGAGTAACTCATTAACCGCGCTGGCCAGAGGAGGCTGGGCACTCAGGACTGGACTCGGACCCTGAGCTTTCAAATCACGAGGCTGCCGCTCACTTCACTCGTGGCTTCAGGCCTCGAAGAATGAAACCCCTTTTTGTTCCTTAGCTACCCAGGGAGTGGATATTTGGTTAAGTATCTGTGTTTGCAATGGGGCTCCTTTCCTTCCTCGGCGAGTGCCCCAACTCCCTGTGGATTGGGCTCTGTACATTCAGGAATCTACACTCTGCGGACAGCTGAACCGGCACACGCATTCGATTGTTCCAGTCCCGGATCTTTCACTTACTGAAGGACTTTGGGCAACACCACAATCCCTCTGACCTCATTTTGTCATGTGCAGAAATACATCCAGTGCTGCCTGAGAAGCTGGAGCGGGTAGCAGTGATGTTGTTGGGGGCGGGGGCATAGTAGAACTATTCTACTTTCTGATTTTGAAACTTGCAGCACTGCGTGCACAGTGCAAAGTGTGAATTTTGCTCTATGTAACCGTACCTGAATAAACCTGCCCCCTCTTTTAAAAAAACAACAGCCGAGGCTTGTATTCACAGCTTTACTGTGTGAGCTTGGCGGTTACTTAACCTCTCTGTGCCTCTGTTTTTCTTCCCTCAAATGGGAATAAATGACAGTACATTGGTCCTTGGAATTATTTAACGAGAAACACTAAAGTGTTCAGACAGTGTCCGGCACATAATGAACTTGAGTAAAAGCTCCTCTCCTGGACGTGACTGTTATTATCTACCCACACAGGGCAAGATGCTGGTCTTCAAAGACTGAACAATAAAGTTGTACAAACGAGCTAATGCTGGTCTCACATTTATGCCACGCTCCTCCAGGCTCCCGCAGAGGCCGTGAACTTCCCTTAGGAGATGCTGGGATGAGAGGGGGCCCAGAGTCCTAGCTCTCTGGAGGTGACAAAGGGCAGGGATTCCAGGGGAGCTCAAAAAACCATCTGCTCTGAGTTTGGCCCTTGCACTTCAGCGGAGCAACCGGCCCGAGGTCCCTCTCCCTCCCCGGTCCCTTGCTAGACCTTGCCTTGTCCCGATTGGGTGCTGACAAGAGGTGCCTGGGAATGCTCTGAGGTCAAGACCTGTGTGATTCAATTTTTTCCAGCCATAGCTGTCGCCTCCATGGAAAGGGAGTATCAATATTTTAACGGTTGTGGAAAAGAATAGGTGAGCTTGGCGCACTGTGTTCCTCACATTTTAGTTACAGTGTTCGCTGGCCTAGCCTTGTGCGCTGTGGCCCACAGTACTGCGCCATACCCAGGTCGCCCGGGTTCGGACCCTCTGAGCGAAGCGCTGAGTCTTACTGTGAGTCAGCCGCACCTCGCGGGAAGCGCCCATGCCGGCTGCCAGCGAAGGGTGAGCCCTTTCCCGGCTCCAAGGCTGGCGCAAGGTGACCAGAGATGGGGAGAAGTCTGGTAACTCACTGTGATTCCCAGTCAGTCCGCTCCTGCAAACTCTCGGGGCGCTGGTGGGAAAAGGAAAAGTAGACTAAATACCTTTTAAACATTGTTTTTAAATTTATTACGGCAAATCCTTTCCTGGCGCACTATCTAGAGGCCTTTCGGCCGGCGGATGCGGCTGCGGCCCTGGGCCGCGATCGGCGTGCGCGCAGCGGCGCCTAGTGGCGAGGGGCCCGTGTGGGCGCGATGCTCCAGGAACCTCTGCACCCGCGCGCTTAACAAGTGCTGGAGTTGCGCCCCACTTCCACGATCTCGCAGACCACAATCCAAGCCAGAGGAGGAAGCTAAGGAGCCCCCCTGACTACCGAGGAAGAGAATGGTTTGGTAATGTACCTCCCGTGCGTCAGTCCCAGCTTTCCACTCCGTATTTCAGCCTACGACGCAGTTCCTGCGAATTGGGCCTCCTTCCGAAGGCGGAGGAAAGGAGGGGACAGATTCTACTTCACCAAAAATTGGGTGGTCATGGCTACCCAAGCCGGGTAAGCGGGAAACTACTATGCAAAGGCGGCTGTAACTCCGTGCCAGCAGTCCCGGATCCCCCGGCCCAACGAAGGTGGCTCAGGGAGTGGCCCGCGAGGTCCTGCGAGGGCCCTAGCCGCGTCACAGTGGAGAAGCGGGGGTTGCAGCTTTCTCGGATTGGCGCTCCCTTGCAGCTGGCAGGGGATCCCCCAAGCCAGAGCGTCTTTGACTGTTGTGGAGATAGCAACTGATCACTGGCCTGGCAGTCCGAGGGTGCTGGTGGGCTGCCCACATGAGCCCGCCGTGATGTGTGTGCCCTTGCCTTCTGGAGTGCGCGGGTTCCGTCTTCCCAGAGCAGCTTGCTTCGTTCTCCTCTTAGTGAGGTGGTGGAATCTGCTTGGTGTTCGCTGGAAACTGATGTGAAGCTGCAGCGAGGGTGCCCTCTGTCTTACTGCTCTGAGCGCCAACCTCAGGCGGCCAAGCCTCGGCAGGCG